TCCCTGAGTGAAGTCGAACTCTGAACCATCTACCTATTTTTAAAAAAAATAAGTGAAGGGGTAAGTTTTAGCCCTCACTACCCCTGAAAATTGAAATAGGTCAAAAGCCCGAAACACTCATATATTTGTGTGCCGGTGATTCATATATGGACCAATACGTGACAAAGTTTTGAACCTTGCCCAAAACTAAGAATTTATGACTTTTGTATATAAGAATTTATGTTGACACAAGTTTATGCGTGGGGTGAAAGAGTTTTCAAATCTCTTTGTTTGGCTTTAAAAAAGATAAACTTTTTTTTATTATTATTTGGATGTAATTCATTTTAATGGTATAAGGTGGTGTGGAATTGCATTCTCATATTAATTATTTGAATATTAGGTATGTCATAGTTAAGATAGAAATTGAAAATTAACAAAAGTAACAATATAATAAAAATAAACTTAAATATTTATTATTCAATTAGTCCAACATGGAGTAAGAGTTCCATGTTGGCAACAACCACATAATCCTCCAATGACTTGGTGGGGTTTTTATAATTTGAAATGTAGAGCCGATTATCAGAGTTTTGTTGGTTTCTGGACCAACATGCAACCTAATTTTAAATGTACAATTGACTTTGATTATAATTTTCCCTTTAAATTATATATTTCATTTACATTATATAAAATAGTTTTTACATATCACACTTAATTTTTGTTTGTCTATGGTATCATTTGAGTCAAACCACTAATCCACCATTGTTGGATTTCTAAATTGACATTAAATTTTGTATTACATTTCCATCATTGATAAAACTATTTCTTATGTCTAAAACTTATTTTTGTTCAATATAATGAATGCACAATATTAGAGATGTACCCAACATTTTATTTTTTATAAATATATAACATAGATATGTGCCCAAAATTTTCTTTATCTATTTTCTTTTATTTTTGTGATTCTTTGTATTTTCTATTATTAAAAATTTTATTATTTGACTATGACATCATTTCATTTATAAGTAGATTTTGAATTTGGCATTCCATTTTCATCATCAATAAAAATACTTTTTACATTTCATAGTTAATTATTTTAATTTTTTAGTTTAATTATGGCATTATTTATTAATCCATTGACCCCAAATGATCGAAATGCTTACCCACCATTGGGAATGAAGGAAATGGTTTTGTTTTCAAATTATTTATTTTTATACTATTAAAATTAATATTGTGGATTTAATTACAAGAATTTAATGATGAGAAAAATATATCTTAAATATAGGATTTAATGAAAGAGAATAAGAGAATATTTTTATTTCCAATTGGTTTTAAATTTTATATTCCATTTCCATCATTAATAAAAATATTTCTTATTTATATACTTATTTTTGTTTAATACGTATGTTAAACATGTTTCCAATTTTTTTTATTTTATCTACTTTTAATTTTATTATTTAACCATGGCAACATGGATTAACCCATTTGATCCAAAATGATTTAATTTCTTACCACCACCTAGATGAAAACACTATGTTTGCTAGGTAGACTTTAAAAGTATAAGCTTTTATGCTATTGGAATTATTAATTTATTAAGTATGAATTTAATTAATAGAACTTAATGATGAGAAGAAACAAAAATAACTTAAATATATGATTTAATGAACATGAATGCAAGTTAATAACTTAAGTGTTGGATTTAATGAGAGAGAATTGAATGCATTGAATATTTTTAAATTACCTCTTTTCAACTCATTTAATATCAAGAACCGGTTACCCTATTTGCCCTCAAATTTTTATCAATAAATTTAAATATAGAGAGGTAAAGGTCCTTAGAAAATTCCAGAAATATTCTTAAGGCCACTCATACTTTCTAAAGTAGTATATATATATATATATATATATATATATATATATATATATATAACAGCTCAGTTTGACATTTTTGACCAACAAAACAGACTGAGAAAACTTTAAAACGGGGAGCGTCATTTGCCAAAAATAAATAAATTAATTTCTCTTCAAAGAAGGACGACTCTAAGGTATGAACAACCAGCCAACATCCATCATAAAAAAAATGTCCAGAAAGCATGTCACATGGTTCATACATTTTATGATAAAATAGATATACTCGGATCGAGCTTGGGCTACCTAATCACTGAACTTAGGTCTGGCTTGAAAAATAAAAAAGCCCACTTTTAAGCCAAAGCCCACCTCGAGGACAGAAAATTCAAACTTAACCCATGTAAAAGTGGATTAAATCAATCGAGGCTTGGGTTGAACCCGTTCAAGTTGCACCCTTATAAGTCTATAACCACTGTTTAAGGTTAAAGTGGGACTTTACTGATCGTTATGGCTGTCAACGGTTCGGGTCTAGGTAGAACCAGTCCTAAATCGATTATTAATTGAAACAAAATTATAGACCCGGAATCATCATGGTTAATAGTACTCAAAACTATTTAAGCAATAACTTAAATTTTAAACCTTGATGATATATCCTTAATGCAAATGATAGAAAAATACTAAATTATTTATATGTTAATAAATAACATACTTTTAACTATTATTATATTATTTATTATCTAACAAATTTATCGTTTCAAGCATAAAATATGATGAATTTATAAAATCATTAAGAAAATATTATACATTTAGTAAAATAATAGGTTTCAGGTCTAAACCGATTTGGGACAAACAAGAAGCGGAACCGACCCTGAAACTAGGGGTGTCAATTGGACTGGATTTGGTCCAATCCGATCCAGTCCAATGTGAGTCCATTATAAATGGACTAGGTACAATTCAATCCAATGAATGTTTTTGACCAATTTGGACCGGTCCAATTCAATGTCTAGACAGTCCAATCTATTCAAATTCATTTTGATTTAGATCGATTTCAACCCAAACTCGGTCCCTTGACACATATATTCTTATCTTATATCAATGGACCAGATATTGGCTTAATCCAATCCAATCCAATATAAACTTGTTATGGACAGACCAGGTCCAATTCAATTTAATAAATATTTTGGACCAAATTGGTCCAATCCAATATGTCTTGTTGGTTCATCCAATTCGTCCAAATTGATTTTAGACTGGACGGGTCCAATTCAAAACCGGTTCATTAACACCTTTACCTGAAACAATAGCAACTTTAACTAATCAAGGTAGATATTAAACTTACCATAACTTTTCTGGAGAGCCCCCGTTAGTAATTTATAGTTAAAAGATATTAAACATTTTATCAAATTTCCCATACCACCCCTCCAAGCGAATTGTTGCCCTCAGCAATTGAACCAACCAAACGTGCCTCTCTGTCTCTTGTAGTATTATCAAGAGAAGAACCAGCAATAGGTGTGCCATATCCTTCTTTGTCCCTTGTAGTATTATCAATTTAAAATTAAGATTTCAGAATAATTACATATTCCATATTGTTGAGATAATCACATAATTAGATCATTACATAACTTGCAACTTTGGATGCAATATATAATCAATGTTAATCATATGATGGAGATAAATGGATAAAACGATTTCCATCAAAGTACAACCTATCAATACAATAAGTATTGTGACTTAGCATTAACTTATCTTAATGCAATATATCATGAGGCCAAATTCTAAAAAACAAGTTGAAATCTCTAGGCATAACTGGTAGGGGGTGTTCTTTTTTCGGATTTTGAGAGGAAAAAATTGGTTAATGGGATTTTGGTTCTCATTGATCAAAAATCTCATGTTCTTTTTACAGATTAATATGGGGATCAAGGAAAGTTTATTTTCCTGGATAGGTAAATAACTTTCTCACTTGGGGGAAAGTTTCCAACATTTATTTGAGACAGAAATGCCTCTTTTAATAATGAATTCTTATGGTTAAAGTGGTCATTTCCTTTTTTTTTATTTGGGAAATAAAAGAACATGGATAAATACACTTACCTGGGTAAGTGTTTTCCAGGAAAAACTTACCCAAATAATTGCATTTACCCGAGTAAATAACTTACCTAAAAGCAAATGGGGCTGTAAATTAAAATCCTCTATCCTCTAATTATCATCATAAGAAATTGAAGGAGACAAACACTGGGCATACCACATGCTACAAATGTCCAAAAAAGATTTCAAATTCACCTCTTCTATTGTTCGCTCATTCTTCTCGAACCTAATATTAGACAGAACTAATGAAAAGCTAAGGCCCCGTTCGCATTTTGGTAAGTTACTTACCTGGGTAAATACCTAGAAAAACTTTTCCCGATCCCCACATAAATCTGAAAAATTAACATGAGATTACTGGTCAATAGAATTTTTGAACAAAAAAATTAGAGTACAATGACTAAAGAGGGGCAATAAATAGAAAATCAGGGTCTTTTGATAATTGTCATCTACCATTCTTCATTTATATATATATATATATATATATATATATATATATATATATATTATAAATAATAAATAATATTATATATAGACACACCGATTGATTCAATTAACAGCCAAATTTTTCATATTAATTAATGAAAATCAAACTAATACCTTCCACTTTTTAAAATTCGATTAATCAACATTTTCTATTAAACTTTAAGCATGATTAGTCATTCTTCCTGTATTTTATCAGTTTGGCTCAATTTTTTAATTTTTGATGAACACAGTAGTAATAATGTATCACCTCAACCAAATCCACCATATGACATTATTACCTCCTCCGCGGTCTGAACGCAGGACCCTTGCTAACGGTTAACTGTCAATAGCCTATAATTGCTGTTGAGCCCATTTTTGGGCCTACGTTCACCCATTCACGCCCATGTCTATCTTTTCGGATTTTTTAATTCCTAACCAACCAACGTCATAACTTGCAAGATTTGACCAGTCAAAAACTCTGGAATTCTCCGTTACTTGCCCCCGCCGGGTTGGTTGCCATTTGCCAGGTAGTGATGGTCTGATGGAGTGAGTGGAGTCTCTCTCACTTTAATCTTTATATATAATCACACTCTGCACCTCGAAATCTAACAAACAGAACTACATCTTAGAAAGGAAGACAGAAAGGATCTCAACTTCTCAACCCCCTACTCATCTTCTTCTTCCTGTATCTCCATCTACTTCTGTGTGAGTAAAGAAATGGCGGTGAAGCTTTACGGAATCGCCATGTCCACCTGCACCACACGCGTAATGACCTGTCTCCACGAGAAGGGAGTCGACTTCGAAATCGTCCCCATCAACCTATCCGCCGGCGAACACAAACAGCCTTCTTTCATCTCCAAAAACGTAAATTAATTGCTTATTGTTATGCATGAAACTTTAGGGTTTTTTCCCCTGCGCATATCATTCAGTTTTTTTTTTTTTTTTTTTTGCAGCCATTCGGTCAAATCCCGGCTCTTGAGGACGGTGATCTCACACTCTTTGGTGAGCATGCTCGATCTAATGGTGGTCACGATTAATGTGACATTTGTTTTTGTTAATTTCTTTATTTATTTATTTATTTTTTCATATCGATCGGACGACAGAGTCTCGTGCAATCACCAAATACTTGGCGACAAAACACAAGGACAAGGGCACTGATCTTCTGAGGCTGGACAATCTGAAAGAAGCAGCGTTAGTTAACGTCTGGTTAGAGGTGGAAGCGCAACAATTCAACCCTCCAATCTCAGCACTGGTTTACCAGAGAATGTTTAGCCCGCTTTTTGGAGGAACACCGGATGAGAAAGTGATCGAGGCCAACGCCGAGAAGCTGGGGAAGGTACTGGACGTGTATGAAGAGAGACTTTCCAAGAGCAAATACCTCGCCGGAGATTTCTACAGCCTGGCGGACCTTCACCACCTCTCCTACACGTATTACCTCATGAAGAATCCCGAGGCCAACCTCATCAACTCTCGTCCCCATGTCAAAGCTTGGTGGGAGGATATTTCGTCTCGTCCTGCCTTTAGAAAGGCTGCAGAGGGAATGACCGCTTAGAACTATAAATCTGCCCCACCGGTTACAGTTTTAGTTCTTCATCATCTTTTCCTTGCATTTCTTATCACTTTCATGGTAGGATTAAATGCATTGCGGACTTTGCCAAAGATGGTAATCCTTCTACCATCTTTTTCTTGGGATTTTTTTTTATTGAGTTCTGTTTTGGGAAGTTGTTCTATATAATTTTTAAGGTGTCTGTGACACTTACATCTGTTTGATTTTCTGTTGCATTCTTCATTTTTACCAACTTGTGCAAAGGAAGGAATTGGTTTGTACTTCAATGCCAAGCATTTACAAAGAAGTCCATTTTAAGAAAGAAAACAATGTAATCTATTGAATTTCTTCTGCATCAAAAGAAATGCAATGCAATGCAATGTTTTTAAAACCGAACCGGTCAGGGGTCCAGTTTCCGGGTCGAACAGTCCGACCGTTTGAATCGAAGAGACGGCCCATTCTAACAAAAATTAAAAAAAAAATTACCAAAACTGTTAGATGGTTCAACCTCGGGTCAGTGGTTTCTTGACCAAATCAACATTTTTTGGCGAAATAAAGGTTCTGGGGTAAAACCGAATCGATCACTTGACCAGTTCCCAGCTTTTTGGTCCGACCATCTGATCCAATCCGATTTTGAAAACCATGATGCAATGTATAGGAATGCAAACGGATCGGATCTGATTTGAATCAGGATATATTTAAATTCGATTGAATCTCATAAATACTGATTTGATTTTCAACTGGTGACCGGTAAATGATGATTGAATTGGAGAGCTCAGAGTTTAGGAGCGAAACTTGGGGTGGTCCAATATGACCCCAGACTGATCCATCCCACAATCTTATACGGACTGGTCTTAAATTTTGGTCCTCAAGCTGAGCCCAGGCCCAAAAGTTTGGGCTCTTAAATTTTTAGAGTGGGGCTCTAGCCTAGCCCTTAGGAAGCCCAAACCCAGCTTGAGCCTAATCCGGTTATTTGCATATATATATATTTAATAAATTATACATAATTGCATACATATATATACATATATGTATATTAACTTTTAGTGTGAATTAATCAACTAACATGAACTTGGCCCTGAAAAAGCCCAATCGAAGTGTATCAAATTTTTAGTGTGAATTGAATAATTTGGATTTGACTTCAAGCTCAAACCGAACTCAAGTTTTAGGCCTAATTCTTAGGATTCGGCTAGGGTTGAGGTAAAACTCGGCCCAATCTGCCCAAGTTGCACTCGTATCAGAATTTGTTTGTATTGGTTTGTTATATTACCATGTATGAGAATGATTGGATTCCAATGAAAGTTAATCGACGCAACACAATAGCGAGCGAGATAGACGAGAATTGTCACATGGTGCATTCTCATGCATTTACCTTATAACGAATTTAGGGGTCAACTGTGGATAGGGCTGTTCATAAGAATGTCCAACCCGACCAAACCGACCAACCCGAGTCGGTCGAGTTTTCATCCGTATCGGTCGGTTTCGGGTTGGGCACATACATAAACTGAAATCTCGGGTCGGTTTCGGTTTTCTTGCGTGAAAACCGAAACCAACCCGACCCGAACCGAACTAGTATTCTACTAGTTTGGTAGTTCATACTTCCTAGTTTGAGTATTTTCTAATTCCTACTAGTCTTCTACTTTTA